GAGAAACAACAGCGAGCAGTTAAGGAATAAGCTTACTGAAGCTAGTAACAAAGTTAAAGAAGAAATCACCTGCAAACAAAAGAAATGGACAGAGCTTTGCAGCAAACTTGATCGAAAGAACGGAACCTCCCAATACTGGAACCTGATAAAGGCTCTAAAAAACTCCCAAATTTTACCCCAGGAGACACATTTTTTTATTATTATTCAGAAAATAATAATAAAAAAAACGCATATGCTAATAGAATAAACAGCTTTATAAATTATTTAAAGGAAAATTCTGAAGTTTATTAGCAGTAATAAACCTTAATAATCAACAATAAATGATATATATGGTTCATAATTTTTACAGAACAATCTAAAGCAATAGATTATTGCGAGAAAATAGTGATGGATCTCAAAATCCCAGACTTTGAATTTTTCTTAAAATATATCTACATCAATTTAAGGTTGCTCTTGTTGCCTAGTGGATAAAATGTTGGCTTCTTGAGTTAAAGATTTTGGATTCAAGCGTCACCAGGAGTGGTGTTGTAATGGAGTTTGTATTTTTAAAAAAAATATTTACAGAAAATATCATCACTAATTTCAGTGTAGCCCAAATGCTTCTTCAGTTTCCTGAAGGTGAAGTGTGAAAACCACACTTACCTGTAAGATACCTTAGTGCAAAGGATCTTTAGCTTTTAATAGGGACTTGTATTGCAGGATCGGGTCTTGCTTTTCCCTAACTTTGATGATAGTATGAACATTTAGATACATTTAACACCTTTAATGATAGTAGTACCTTTTTTTGGGGGGGACGCAAGATGCTTGCATTTATTTTTCATTTCATTTCATTCATCATTCATATAAACCTAATTTTCGCTCAGCATTGTATCCTTCTTTTGACATTCAGCTGACACGAGACTAGCAAAAGCGATACTGGTATTAGTATAAATTTGTTGTTTCAACTAATTAAAAAATTTAGTGAGTTCTGATCTTAAAACAAGTGGTGACGAATAAACTGTTTGTTTAAAAAAAATTAAGAAAACTGTTATTTATACAAAAAAAAGCTCGCTAGTATGTAGGTGATTTTATGGAATACTTCTATGCATTTTAATAGCTTCATGTTTGTTTTCCTTAACATGCATGACCACTTTTTGGTTTAATCTTGATGAGAATTTTTTATTAATTTAAAAAACTTTTGCATGAGCATTAGCAAATTTGCTAATTGTAGAATTCAATTTTTAACACAGAAAAAAAAAAGTATTATATAAAATGCTGTTACTTCAGTGAGTTTTAGAAAAAAGTAAACTTATAAAATAAACCTTTAGATAGTGGTTGTTCATTAATATATGAATGACTAAAGTAATTACTGTTACATTTAAGGTAAAAAATATGTACATAAGGCAGAAACTAAAATATTTAAAAAAAATTGCTGTTGTTTATTAACTTAAAAATAACTGCTTGTTTTAAATGTGATATGTAATTTAGTAATGCTGTAAATCCTACATATATTTAAACCAAATATAATTTTTATTGCAATATTTAAACAAATTAAGGGAAGTTTACTTAAGCAAGCATACATCATGCAAAAACATTTATGGTATTCTACTTCATGAAAAATTTACTGCAAATTAGAATCATGCAATTAGGATTTTTTAATTATCATTCAACAAAATTCATATGTAAATTAAATTAGATATATACAGCATTTAATATATACAGCCATCCTTTTCTGGAATATCATATTCCTATCGTCCAAACAATTCTTTTCTGCAATATTCTGATAAAAATTAGTGTTCTGCTTTTGAATAAATAGTTCAATGAGCGCTAGAAATTCATCGATTTGATGAGGTGTCATGCAAAAATAATTAAAAGAAATTTCATTTCGTTCAAGTGCATTTATTCACTTAAATTATTTGCATCTCCTTGCTGCAGTCATCTCTCACATATTAATACAAACCACTGCATTTTGCTTCTCTTACACAAAGCAAGAAGTAAAATAAGTTTTAATCGAGCAGAAATTAAATCCATTATAATTAAAAAATGTAGTCGTAAAAAGTCAAAATACCTCACAAAAATTTCACATTTTCACCCAAGTTTCTGATATGAAGAGCCATCTAGTGTGACCATATGACAACTTTTAAAGCGAAAGTTGGTGCGCTGATGTGAACTGACGCACGCGAAAAGCGTTTTTTTCCGTGTTGACGCTTTTTGCCCCAACAGACCAGTGTGAACACAGCTTTATACCATGAAGAGCCATCTAATGCAACCATATGACAACTTTTAACCCTTTGAGGGGCGGTGGTCGCGCCCTGAAACCACCAATTTTCGAAATTTTTTTCGCTCTTGTTTCTAAACTGTTTAAGTGAAAACCAATTGATTACTTATCTTTTACCTCTAAATAACGCAAAATTACTGCAGAACTATACATTTTTTAGGTCTTAGTATTTTAAATCGGATGCCTTTTAAAATTCATTTTCAGTCAGACAAAATAACTTCATTTTATTTACATTGATAACTTAAAATTTAAATTTTTTTATCGCACATCATTATTTCTATCATAAACAATAAAAATACAGCAATAATTAAACTGCATATATAAATAACCTGTGTATATTTATGGTATTTCCTTTGTGGTTTCAGGGTGCGACCACTGCTTAAACTGTGATTTTCCAAATTATTTTGTGTGGTTCCAAAAAATTGCAAATATATTTTTGAATAATTAAAAAGAGAAATCGCAAAAAATTTAATTAAATTTAAAATATTTTGCCAATATTTTATTTTTTACTGTTGAGATTCAAAATGCCTCGCAAAGGGTTAGAAATAGCTGATGCATTAGCGTTACTTGAAGAATTACCTTCAGATCCAGAATCAGTGGTCTCTGAGGATGAAAGTGAAGGAGAAGGAAATACTCCTTTACCCCCTTCCCTCCTGCTTATGCAAATATAGAAGATGAAAGTGATGATCTGTCAGAAAATGATGATATAAGTTTACCAGGTCCTTCCAGAATTGCAGATGTAACATGGAATAAAATGCAGAATGTAGTGAAATCCATTCCCAAATTTTCTGATGATTATGGCCCAACTGACGAAATTACCTCTATGGAAGATGCAAAACCCATGGATATATTTATGGCTTTTATCCATCTATTTATCCCAATTTCCTTATTCTGTATGTTCTTATGTTTTCGCTGCTGCAGAAAAATTACATAAATTATAATTTTTTTTTCTGATGATATACTTTGTAAAATAAAATAAAAAATTTATATTTGATGCAAATTTTAAATGCAGTTTTTTTTTTATTCGCAAATTTCGTCATTCATTGGAAATGCATACGGAAAAAGGTAAGTTGTTTTTTCCTACTAACTCAGTAAGTTTCAAAGTCCTAGTCCTAGACGCGCGCTGGTTTCACAGCGAAACTACCACCCACAGATTAATGGGCAGGAGTAGATTTTTTTAAATTCGTACATTATTTGTCTTTAGGATCATAATATTCGATTTCTAGTGTTTTTAGTTAAAAAAATTTTTTAAATAATATAGCGCACGTCAAAGGGTTAAAACAAAAGTTGCTGCACTGGTGTGAACTGACGCACGCGGAAAGCATTTTTTTCCGCATTGACGCTTTTCACCCCAACAGACCAGTGTGAATGCAGCTTTATACCTATTCTTAAGACAGGAAAAGATGCTACCAACTGCAAAAGTTTCAGGCCCATTTTGCTGACCAGCATCTTTTGCAAGATGATGGAAAGAATCATTCATACCAGATTGATGAAGTGGCTCATTAAGAATAAGGCCCTGCATTTTTACCAAACTGCCTACAGGGCCAAGCATAGGACAGTTGACCAGCTCTTCTACCTATGCCAATCAATTATTGATGGCTTCCAGGATAAGCCTCACAGACAAACCACCACAGTTTTCCTAGATCTTTCTGCAGTGTTTGACAAAGTACGGAAGCAGAAATTAATTGATATTATCCATACAGCAGGTATTCTGGGTAACTATCTTATCTGGATAAATGACTTTTTGAGAGGAAGAAACTTAAAAGTAAATGGTACATTTTAAAAAAACCCATAGCACTTGGGCAAGAGTCCCACAGGGCTCTGTGTTAGATCCTATTCTCTTCCTCCTCTACCTTAATACTATTCACTCCTACATCAGCAAGGAGGCAAGCACTGCGTGTTATGCGGATGACATTGCAGTATGACATACTCACTCTGACATTCTTTGTATTAAAGGCATTGAAGATTGGTCAAAAGAGCTCAAGCTCACTTTAATCCTGACAAAACTAATTATTGTATTTTCTCAACTGATAAGAAAAACAGAAAGTCCTTTCAACCTACTATAAATCTATGTAGCTCTGCAATCAAATGAACTACACATCCCAAGTACCTTGGCATAACTCTTGATGATGAGCTGAAATTTTCAAAACACCTTGAACAAACCTCTAACAAAGCCTTAAAATCCTTAACAGATTATGTGGTGCATCTTGAGGACAACTCCTCTTAATACTTGTACTTTGCTTGTTAGGCCAAATCTAGAATATGCTGCCTCCATTTTGCCCTCATTACTTTGAAGAGGATGTAATAATAGTAACTAATAAATTGAAATCTCAAGTTTCATGGAATCATTCCTGTTACTTTTTGAATTTAAAGCCCAACCGGATTGCTGTCGAAACATATTGGGGCAATCGATAACCAATTGATAACATTTATGCTGTAAAGCAAAACAATGGCTAGAAGAATAATGAATCTCCATTATAAATTTACAAATTAAAAGAAATATATGTTCTCCTTTAAAAAAAATATATCAGAATTTCAAATAAAACATTTAAAACATAATGGACTTTTAAAATTTAAGTATGCATTTTTTAGATAATTATTTTTTAAGACCATAGAATACAAGTGTATAAAATGATAACTACAAAATATATTACAGGATGTAAAGTTCAGTATGTATATGAAATAAAAAAAAAAAAAAAAAAAAAAAAAATTCATCATAAGCATTTAATAAAAAATCACTTACCTAACAACTCCTTCAGGAATCATTTCTAGATTGTTATTGGAAGCCATGAAAACTTCTAAACTATATAATTTCCCTATGCCAGATGGAATACCATCAAAATCAAACTGATTATCATTTATATAAAGCCTTCTTAATTTTGATAATTTGCATATGGTAGCCTAAATGAAAAAAAGAATAAATAAATACATGCGACTGATAAAAAAATACGCATACAATATGCTTCGCAATAATCAATCACTGAATTTTTTTAATACTTTAATAAAAATTAGTTACAAAAACATTTAGCAACATTCAAACACATTCTTACTCTGTTTTGTACTCGTATATATTATATTTACTGTATTACTCTGTTTCACAGTGTTTAGCCTAGCAGATTTAAAGCATTTTCTAAAAAATATAAGGACATACAATTCAAACTTTCAATGCTACTGTTTAACATGTTATATATAGAGCAAGAAGGTGGTTTCATGCCTACTTTTAAGATACAGGATCAAATTTATCACAAAGCTGGATCACTTCTACCCCTAACAAGATGAAAACCCCAAATTTCTGGAAGTTTACTTCATAGGTGATGAAAAATTAGAGGCTGACAAATAATGTGCTAATATATCTGGCAAGCAAGACGACTTCATTTCAAATTTGCAGAGATTATCTAATCCATAAAATCGTTTCGTAAGAATGTTTGAAACAGAATTAAAAATGATGAAAACATGATTAGAGTATAATCATACAGGCAGACAAGAGACCATTAAGTGAACATGAATGGTGTTTTAATACCCAAACCATTAACGATGTAGTTACTGATGATCAAGAGGCCCTAGATAGTGATATTTGGGGAAAAAAAGGGACTATAGCATTAATGCTCTGCAAATATTTGTTGAAAAATATTAACCACAGATGATTGCATATTTAAACTTTATAATAATACTTTGTGCAGAAGTTTGTAACTCAAATTCAATGGAAATAATTAAATATTAAACAAAATAGATAAACACATTATTATTCAGGAAAAACAGACAAAAACTTAATTTAACTTTATTGTGCCTAAACAAAAGTAAAGCAGACAGAATAAGGGGAAAATGAGGAAGATGTTGTTTGGTTGTGAAATATCTTTCCATAAAAACACAAACTTTAAGGAGCATCTCGTATTCCTTCTTTGTGTTCAAGTCCCACTCAATTATATTTGAGAATGATTAGGCCAATTTTCACTCAAAATTTTCCCATTGAGATTTATTGTCGCTTATGCTTTAAAATGTTTTTAAAGTGAGGCATGGCATGGTGAACGAAAATGACTAATAATATGAAATGGTAGAAGAATATATTTCCCAAACAAAATACTTAATATGTAATATTAATACCTCCTTTTAATAATTATTTCAAATTTAGCAATGTACTAAGAATGGTGACCATAAATAAATTTCTGTATTATTGAAGCTTGCATTTATTACAATTCTTAATTATACTTTGAATGCATTTCAACAATGATTCAGAATGATTTACTCCATTTCACTTTTTATCGATTAAATATCTATTAAATAAATTATAGGGCATTTTTGCTATATCAATAATTAACAACATCTCACAAAAATTTGTTAAAGATTACTTACAGGAAGTGCTTTCAATTTATTTCTAGAAAGGTTTAGTGTTTCGAGATTTTTCCACAGATCTAGAAAAATGATGTGATACAACTAATAAGATGAATCTTGTAAAATAACATATAGAAAAAAATAATACTGTAACAAACTTAAAATTTTATACATTTTTTTACGGAAAATATCTAGAAAATTTAATCTTGAATTTGTAAACTAAACATAATTTAATTTTTTTTATTTTTTTTTTTTTATGGACAGCTGGCACAATGTAGGGATGCTATGTAAATTACAAACGTTAATTTAATACAAGAAGAAATAAAAGGGAGCACTAATTTTATGAAGAATAAATTTAACTTGAAAAAAGAGATTAAGTATAAAAGTGATTTATGCAGCACCGATATTCAAGCAACATTATAATAATTACTAAAATACCAACAAATCTCAAAAAGTTATAAATAAAATCCTCACTTAGTTTAATTAATTTGTGGTACACAGTAAAAATTTAATAATAAAAGCAGATGTAGACATTGAGTTTAAAATTAAATACAAGACTACACATAAATGCAAATCATTGCATTCAACAGTGTGGCCACCCATGAATTAAAGCTATTGAAATGCAGACAACTGAAAGATTTGTGAAGTGATGTTTGTTTCCCAATATCTCCAATACATACTAAGTTCTTAATTTTTTCATAAAAAAACTACCTACCTGGCTTACTAATGCATAAATAGGCGCTTGGTGAATATAATGGGTTTATTTTTACCTCAGAATCGATCAGATGAATTAAGGTCACTTGTTATTAAAACAGCAAACATGATTCTGAGCTTTACAGATTTTGAAGTTTTTAAATTATCCCAAAATTATTAACAAATGCAGTTGATTCTTTTCCTTATTCACAGATGATTGTCAGCAATATTATTAATCTTAATGGATGTATCCTGAAGTGTGGTTGTTAAAGATCTTATTTTTATTATTCTCAATTTATTACATATTCAGATGAGAAAAACAAAATCTAATGGAAGAAATTTGCTTTAAGTTCAGCAATGATGTACCATAATTACTTGAAAATAAGATCCCTCTAACATTATAGTACTTCTTTTTTTTTTAGTCCAAAGGGGCTTTGTCCCTAAAGGACTATTGTTTTCATTTTGCGATTTTGCATTGAAATTTTTTAAAAGGCTGTATTACTTTTCAAAACGTTGCCCCCAAATACTATCACCCTGTATTACATTTGAAGAAATTAAATAATGAAGAATCTGCATAAATGTATGTATGTTTCTCGCATTGTGATAAAACAACGGTACCTAGAGCCATCGAATTTTGAATGGCGTAATACTAATGCGAATATGGGCATCTGAAGCCCAAATTTCAAATTTGTTTTATTATCGATTTTATATTTTGTAAAACTTTAAAGAATTTTTGATTAGCAAACTCAACGATTTAAAAGCAAGCAATGGCAACACTGTATTTAAAAAAAAATTATCTCCAGCGTGACAGGCTGTGTTTCGGAAAGTATAAAGATATGCTCATTTAAAAATTATTTTGCCATATTGCTGTTGAATTTACTTTTATGGTTTAAGTGCGAAGAACATGATATTTAATACATAAAGGTAATACAAAATGTTAAAAAAACACCCCTTTGGGTGTAATGTAAAATCTGAAATCTTCCAGATTTCTTTTTTTTTTTTTCTTTTTCTTTTTTTTTTTTTTTTTTTACTTTTTTATATTCAGATTACAGTTAAATTTTTTATTTTTAATTTATAACATTAGCTTGAAAACAAACTGAAAACTTTTTCGATTTTTTCTATGCTCATTTTAAAATTATTTTGCAACATTGCTATTGAACTGAATTTTATGGTTTAAGTGCAAGCAAATTATTTATATTAATTAGCATTTATTATGAAATGGAAAAACTAGCATTAGTTATGTCTAAGAAACAGTATAGCTTTAGTAAGATCTTCTTTGTTGGAGGGCCATAGATCCGATTTGATAAACTTCAGAGCTGAGAAGAGTCTTTCCACGCTAACTTGAGCAGGAGGCTATTACTGTTAGGGCTACTTCTTTTAACTTTTCAGGATAGATTTTTATAAGTTCTAAAAGAGGTGTCTTGTAAGTGCAATCATATTCCTTTATTTCTTCAAAGGCCACGTAGAAAACTTGTTTGTATTTTTTTCATTTTTATATCTAAAGGCTCTTGGTTCTTTATTTTCATTCGTTTTGCATTAGCCTTTTCAATATTATCCAAAAATATTTCTCAAAATCTAGTTCAACACTGGAAGAGGATGGTACAGACTCAATTGCAATGTCTACAGTTTGACTGTCCTGATTCGAATTCTCCAATTGTTCAGAGAATAATTTCATTCTTAATGAAAGTTTGTAGATGGCTTTCTTTGCCTTTTTAATTTGTTCATCATTAAAGAAAATTCAGTGTTTCGAATCTACATATATTGAACCCAGCAAGATCTCATTGTCTAGCAAACTAATTTCTCTTTTCTTCATTGAAGAAATAATTCCTTCTGCAATAAACCCTTCATTTCAGAAAGAACAAACATCACATTCTTCCATTCTCGCCTCCCGTCAATTCTTCAGATTGCAGCTTTTTTTGTGGCTATATATGGTGTAGAAAGAAGAGTTTCCAATTCTGAAAGATCATTCCACAGTCTTTTTGTTAGTGAAACATTAGGGTTATCTACATCTTTTCTTCAAAATTTCTTAATTCTAACAACCTGTTTATCATCAAATATGTACTTCTTTATCGCGTTGCTTGATCAATAATTGCTCCTTTTCCTGCTCGCTTCCTAAGAACGGCATCAATTTTGGGAGTTCTTGCTTCTATTCCTGCTTACTTAAATTTACCAATGAGATTTGTACCGAAATGAAGTAACTAAATGAATCCATTTAATCACTGATCGCAAATATTACATCCATCCTCCTCCCTTATATTTATTTCTTAATATGTCAATAAAAAAAGAAAATAACTATTTATTAATGTACATACATAGTCCTAAATAAAAATAATAACCCAGCTTGTCATTATTTTTTTTTTTCAATTCATTCTAATTTCATTTCAAATTCAAACTGTCCAACGAAAATTAGAGTCGAAGTCGACCTGTTTTTAGCGACTCCATGACTCTGACACCACAGCCCTGGCAGTCAGCCACATTATAGTTGGAGGGACATTATATCGTCTCTTGAGAGAAAGAGGAATAGAATTTAGGGAAACCAGTATGAATGTTATCCTTGCTGATCGTTTCCAGAAAGAAACAGATGTTTATATGGCCCAAGTAGATATTGAAGTTAAAGGATGATTGTTTTGAATACCTTCATTTGTGTTACCCACAGCGAAAGATAACAGAACATTTTTAGGAACTGAATTTTTACATAGTGCTGGAATTGTTTTAGACCTTCCAAATAATAGATGGTATTTCCATGACAACCCTAAACAGAAATTTAACTTTAGTGATGACATTTTTAAAACATCAGAGCTTTCAGAATATAAGGTGAAATTAACATATTTCTGTCAAGAGAAAGTAAAGAGAAATACCTTCTCAGTTCAGGTATCCTTCAACCAGGGGAAAGACCTACTCCTAAAGTCCAACATTATATTAACAACAGTAGCAAACCCCCATCATAGTTCAAAGAAATTGTACATCTCCACTAATGAAAGAACATAAATTCCAATAAATGTTATAATTATGGAAAAACTGGTCACATTGCACAAGACTGCGAAAGGGATATGAACGTGTTTCATATGTGAAAAACATGGGCATATATCCAGAGATTGCAAACAGAATGATCATATACGGTAAATGGCTGTGGTAAAATAGGCCGTACTTCCCATGCCTGCTCCAAAGCTAATTTTATTGCAGATATGTTGTTCTGACCATTCAGTCAATGTAAAGAACATCACACAAAGGTTTGCATTAAACTCTGTTACTGATGATCTTTTCTTCCCCCATAAGTGAGTAAAATGTATCTGCCCTGTGTCATATGAAGGGCAAGATATCACTCCTTTACTCTTGATCCAAGGAAGAGATTGAACCTTAAAAGTCCCTGAACCAGATAAATGAGCTGTTCTTACCAGAAAACAGCCACCAAGAGCAAGCTATAAATTGAAGACAACTTATACGGCTTGAAGGGAGGAGTATAACAGATGGTGTGAGTAATTCTTCAGGCAGAGCACTTGCTCTAGACCAAGTGATGCAAGATTCATCCAATTATAAACATTCTTTTCTTTTTATAGATCATGTGACACAACAAACGTTAGTTAAGACTTGAACTCTGTGCGCAAGCATCACAGCTTACAAAAACTCTCTTTTATTCTTTTGTGGGTGTTACTTCATTAATAAATGGGTGTTCGTCATACTTAAATATCTTAATTATTAACCCCGAGATGATCTAGTGATACTGAAAAGTAAAATATATGTTATAACTAGCTATAAATAAGTTTAGTAATATTATAGTTTAGTAATTAGTTTAGCAGTATTTAGAAATAAAAGTGTTATGACAATAAGTATTATGCATTCTGTTTTTTAATGATATATAATTTTTAAATTTTGTAAACATATTTTTATGCTTACAAAAATATATTTGGAAACACAGTTAACTCATATTTATACAGTCCTTAACTATCCAGTTATAGTTGTCCACAAGAAAGTTCTGAATCTTCTGTTAGCCTAATTTCTCTTTCAATATAATAATCTATTGCAGTCAAAATAGCAATTTCTTTAAATACATAAATACAATAAAATATGAGCCTAATCATGGAAACAGACAATTTACTTTTTTTTTAATGGCAATTTATTTCCCTTAATTAAATTTATGTTTAAATACAAAGGGTGTTTACATGTTTGTAACAATTTTGATTTTTAATAATTGAATTTAAATATTAATTTTAAAATTCAAACAAGTCTGGCATCAGATTCAAATAAGGTTTCATTAACAATAAATATACTTTTCTTTAACATGTCACTGAGAAATAAACAATGGATCAAAGGCTATACTTTTGTGCTGCCCAAAGAAAAATACTCTTATTCAGTTATTAAAAAAGATGTTAAAATTATGAATTTAATATTTCCACATGCATAAATAAGTGACATAATTAATATGAAAGGAAAGAAACTTCAAAATTTACATCTGACAGGGAAAAAGGCAAAAAATAATAAAAGTCATAATAGGGTTTCCATAACATTCAACTTCTCAGGCTACCATAAATAAACCACCACTTGGCGATAAATGAAACAACTTCGCGTTAATATAAGGGGTACCCTTCTCTTTACTCTAACCAGGATATGAGGCACAATGATTCTTAATAAGTATAACACTAAGTTTAACAAAAACAAAAAAAAAAAAAAAAAAAAAAAAAAAACTTTACTTACATCAAAGGAATACTATCTAGATGATTTTTGTACCATAATGAAGTTTAAACTTCTTCAAAGTTCACTATAAGCAGAAGAATCATAATGATACTCTCTTGAACTGAATATCACATCTTTCTTTAACATATGGCTACTACATACACATTGGATATCTATGCAGCAAATTTCGTTATGTCAGAGAGTACCATGGCTTTGCTAAAACTGCATTTATTTATTCTTTTTCCCCATACTGTTCTCCAAATTTTAAGTAAACTAAATATTCTGGGTTTAAGATAAAATCACAAAAAATATTTCAGTTACTTTGTAAGCAATTTTCTAGGGTTTTTATTGAGATTTTTCAGAGTTCCTGAAGGTTACCAACGGTTAAATGCTTTGTTTTATCAACCAATATTAAATTAAAAATTTTAGAATCTGAAGATATGCAAATTGCTTCTAAAACGAACTGCTGAAATTTTCAACATTCTTGAAGAGAACTTTATTTATGATTTAATAAGAAGACAGTACCTCAATATGTGCTTACCTCCAACATCTGAAGAAATATCAATGATGCAGTTTTCACTTAAGTTGAGCCTTTTTAGATTTGGAAAGGGAATACAAAGCATCTGGCACACGGGGCAAGTTATTTTGGGATAAATCCACATCTAATATAAAAATACACATTCGCATAAATTTGACACACAAATAAATAATAATATACATTTCAGATAAAAATAAAAGCAGATGCAATATAATTTTTATTTAAAGGACACTACAATACATAACAGATATTTTTATTTAAAATAATAATAATAAAACACTCACAGTGAAGGAAATTTAAGCATATACTAAATACACCATTAACATAATACACATTTTGATGATAACTTACCCTGCAAATTATTCAGTCCATCTAATGATGAAGGGATGTTTGATATACTTCTTTGTGTATTGGCCATGTGTAAAGTTTGTAATGCAACAAGAGCAGGAAGTTGTCTACATATATAGGAAACAATTAGTAGATATTAACACCAATGTATCATATTAATTGCAAATGTTATTAAAATATGCACTATACACAACAGAAGTACAGGAAATGCTACTAATGAACACACTGAAAACTTAAGATTAACTATTAAGACTTAAGATTGAACTTAAGATTAAACTTAAGATTGAACTATTAAGAACCTATAAACAAATTTCATTTTACATATGAATAACTTCATTATTGTAGAGGCTCACTGTTATTGTGTCATGAGTTTCAAAAGATTTCTGTCATATTTGCCTGAAAAGATTTCAATAAAAATACCTCAAGCCCCTCCTCAAAAACCCTTTATTCATCAAAATAATTCCAATCACAATCCACATTATCACCTATATACAGGGTGAATCTGAACAAGTGGGCAAAATCTATACCTTCTATCAGCCCACGAGCAATATTCGTTATAGAATATATATGGTCAGAAGCAGTGAGAGTTAAAGGGTAGTTTTCCACTGTCACATTTAAAGAATTAACACAAGAATGAGAGTAGATACCTTAGAAAACATTTTATTAACAGAACATGCTCACAGAAATTCCTCAAAAGAGCAGCTTCTGCCAGCTATAATGCAGGCTTCACAGAGGGATGGGGATTGATGCACATTTGCAAAGACATCAAGCATTTTCCGAATACTGTCGGCAATTATAGCAATCCTGGCGGCTAGATCCACATCAGTTTCAATGGGACACTCACAGATTAGGCTTTTCATATGGCCCACAGGAAATAATCCAAACACGAGAGATCCAGTATCTTGGTGTCCAAGCTACGAGACCACCTCGACTATTCCAAGTTGAATCTAAAGTGCTCTGTGCATCTAAGCTGAAGTGTGCAGGTGGATCCTCATGCTGGAACCACATTCTCGACCTCTTGTGTTGAATTCTCTTGTTGGAATCAGATGCAGCAGCTCCGGCAACACCTCTCGTAGGAATGTGTAATACAACTTGCCTTCCAGACAGTGTGACAGGAGGCATGGGCCAACCATATAGTCATGGAAGATTCCTCTCCAAATATTTATGGAGAACCGCCGCTGGAATGAATGAGGATGTGTGGCATGCAGGTTTGTATATGACCATGTGTATGAGTTGTGGGTATTAAAAACAACCTCATGAGTAAAAGTGCACTTGTCCTTAAACAGAACATGTGCACCGAAATTTGGCTGCTCTGCATTCTGATGGAGGTACCAACATGCAAAATGACATGTAGCTGATAGTCTGTTGGTGACAATACTTGTACCTTCTGTGTATGAGAGGGGTCATTCCTTCCTCCTGTAGCACACGGCAAACCATCATTTGGGACAAGTTTACAGCACGGGTGCAAGAATCAACCCTTTTATACTACTTATAATGCCACCTAGTGGATCACCGTTTATGTTCCAGCAAATAATACATTCTATACAAAATACTGTTCATACAGCAGCCCTCTATCACCCCATAAAGTTTTGCCCACTTGTTCAGATTCACCTATATATATATATATATGTGGGATGGCATCGTTCATTATAATCGGTAACGCAACAAGCTGTGAGAATAAATCTTTTACTTTCTCGATGATAGAAGGCAGACGATTCCGCCATTAAGACGATGACGCAATTAAAAGATGTTTAAATGTAAAAGATGATTCCTTCTCTTCATCTGTAAATAATCTCATCTATTTCCTTCTACGTATGTAATTACTTTGTAGTTTGTTGCAACTATTCATGTTTCATTAAATACTCAAGTTTTACATAAATCGGACTAGTTTATTAGCCCCTAGACAGCCACCTAAGAAGTAAGTTTACAAACATCATATTCCTAGACAGTAAGTTCCGATTCTACAGATTTGGGGGCTCAGCCAGGATGAGCCTAGGAAGAAGCATTATGAATATTACAAAATAAGAGAAGTAAGTTTTGTTTCGATTATTTCCACATTGTTACTTCTAAGAATAGTGTTCTATGATACTGTGAATTAAGATGACTACCTTAAATTCTATTCCTAGAATTTCAAATTCTTTAAAGACTGGGCCTACTAAGTCAATTAAACTTTTTACATCAAATTGTGTTTGGAACTTTGGGTGATCGAAAAAATAGAGCTAGATTCCGTAACTTTTGCAGTTTTCCATCTGATTTTAATATTGAAGAAACAAAACAAAAATTACTTAAAACTCTTACTGCAAATGATTTTATTTCTGTGTGTAATTTGTTACATCTTAATTATGATTCAAATCCTGATAAAAACTGTGATTTAATATTGAATAGTCTTTGTGACTTTAAGCTTTTAAAATCCGAAAGTGATGACGATGATGAGTTATCTGAAAACGAAAGTGTTTATGATTCTGATAAAAATGATGATATTAATTCTGTTCGGTCAGAATCACCTCCCTTAAATAACTCAGTGGATGAAAACATTATAATGCCTAGCAATATTTCCTTATATTTTCATGATATTTTAGAAACTGTTTGTGAATTTAATGGCACTGATACATATCCAGTTGAATCCTTTATTGGTGATTTAGAAGAATCTTTTAAATTATTTAAGTTATCGGAATTACAGAAAATTGTGTTTGCTAAAAAATTGCTTACTGGTTTTGCTAAAGTATAAGTCTTTGAAAAGTATAATATCATGGGACAAATTAAAAGAAAATCTTTTATATGAATTTGGTTCTAAAATAAACAGTGCACAACTTCATAATTTGTTACAGAAACGACACTTACTTAAAACCTGGTGAATCACTTTCCAAATATTTAATTGCCATGCGTGAAATAGCCAGTTGCGGTTCTGCTGATGATTCATCAATTCTTGATTATGTAATCAATGGGATACCAGATCAGACTAGTAACAAAATTATTTTGTATGGGTGTAAAACTATTTCTGAATTCAAAGAGAAATTAAAAATATATGAGAAAATTTGTGTTCCAGATACGAAGAATAAGGGTTATTCAAGTGCTAAAACACAAAATAATGCACGTGCTATACTTAAGAGTAAGGAACCAAGGTGTTATAACTGTGGAAGTATTGGTCATAAATCTAACTCATGTAACAATAAGAGTAAAGGATTTAAGTGTTTTAAATGCAGTTTGTTTGGACACAAAGCCGTAGATTGTTCGAAAACATCATCTAAAAATATCCAAGATGCCAAAGCTGTTACTCCAATAACTCAGACTTGTCAGAAAGGAATGCATAAAAACTGTTAATTTGGGTAATTCGCAAATTGATGCTTTAATAGATACTGGTAGTCAGGTAACGTTAATCTGAGAAGATATACATAAGAAGATAGGTTCTTCTGAACTTAAGTCAGCAGATCTACAGTTAACGGGGTTTGGTAATGGTAAAATTAAGCCTACTGGAAAATTTGATGGTGAATTCCAAATTGATGGTTCGTTATTTAAATCAAATACAGTCAAAAGTCGTTAATTCGGACACCCATAATTCGGAATGATCTATAATCCGGACCTCAAAACTAAAAACTTTCTGTGCATGCGCCGCGTTGACACATGCGCATAGGCGTTTACGCGTGCACGTAAGACCTTTTACACTGCGCATATGAGTATGCGCAAGTGCAGAATACGTTTTCGCGTGCGCGTTTTATGTATAATGGACGTATAAGCTAAAATTATCTAATTATCTATTTCAGTTAATGTTAATGATTGCGATGTTCCTTAATTTTCGAATTGGATCCAGCTTATTATTTTTTGCAGACTGTAAGAGCAATTTTATAAAAGTAAGCTTAAACTTTCGATTATATCAAATAGAATTTCCGATATATATTTGTTAATATGTAAAGGATCTAAAGTGAAAGTATGGTTTGAAATCCGAAATCTGTTTATCAGTTTCACGCTGCTCGGCGGGGGGAACGCCGCGGCGAGCGCATAATGAATTAGAAGTTGATCTGTCAGCACTATCCTTATCTTCAGCGCAGATGTTTTTATTTTATTTGGCTTATAATTCCTTACGAAATGTAGTATTTCATCTCGATATGCTCCGTCTTTGATATGATTTAAAACAAGTTCCTCGTCATTATAATTCACTTCCGATAGCGAAGAAAAGTGACAGAGGTTATTGAAAACGAAAAAATTTCGATTGACAAATTAGTCGGTGTTCTTGACACAGCAATATAGCGTAACTTTGTAACTGAACAAGAAATTATGTCTGTTTAATAGAATTAAAGAGAAAGTATTATCACATGAAACGAAGCAAAACTTAAACAACTTACATTGAAAGAAATGTTTAATAAAGTAAACAAATAAATATTAAGCTTTTTCTTTTTGCAAATTTTGATACCCTTTAGATCATAAATGTTCTTTATTTCATAAATTATGGTTTCATATTTTTAATTTTAGAATTTCTGCATGCCATCTAACGAGATTTAAACTGATGATCTATAATCCGGAAAAATCGATAATCCGGAATCGCCGAAGTCTCGATGAGTCCGGATTAACGACTTTTGACTGTATTTGCGTTATCGCAGAAAATAAAAAATCTGATAGTGATTCCGAAGGGCATAAAAATGCTCATTGCAATGGAAATGGTTCTGAGGAAGTATTTGAAAAGTTGTTAATTATGGTGTTTTACTTCCAAAACCAGAAACTGATCCTGTTAGTATAGTTCCTGTTGGGTAGAGGCGAGCGAACATTTTTTCTTATACGCATGCATATTAATTATGATGGCGCAGCTGTCTCTTCTACCGACACATCCGTCATTCGAGCTTCGAGCGTAGGGAGATGGTGAGATGATACTTGCTGTGTGATGGTCAATACGATTTCCTGTGTGATATTTTTATTCATTATTCGTGTAAATAAAGTGTGTTGTCCTAAATCGATGGCTTCTTTACTCTAAATATTGGCCTCTGAACAACAAATGGTAGCAGCTCCATGGTTTTGTCAAGAAGAATTGGATATAAGAGACCAAGTCGAAACCGAAACTATCATAGTGGAAGCTAAAAATGGAGAAGTGGAACGTTCCCGAATTAACTGGAGAGAA